CCCCCCCCCCCCCCCCCCCAGGGGCGGGGGGGCACCATGGATCAGAGCCACTCATCCTTTATACTTAAGTCCATAATCCAGGACACCTGGGTGCACATGCTCAATTACATTAGACAATAGCCAAGGATCACCTGGGTGCACGTGCATATTTACATCAAATGCTCAGCAAGATTCTGAACATCTGAGGGACCCTGACCATTATCCTCTATTTTCCCAACGACTGACCCATGCTACAACGTGGATGAATCTTGAAGACATTATGCTAAGTAAAATAAGCCAGACAGGAAAGGACAAATATTTTATGATTCCACTGTATTGCTACCAGACAATTGTAGGGCTAGGGCCACAGCTATGCTAATTGTCTGGCTGGGCTATTCATAACTAAAGCTAAAATGTTTCATGATTTTAGTTATAATAAGTTTTCCATTTGTATCATCAGGGTTAAAGCTAGGGCCCAGAGACCCTTCAAACCCATTGTACAGACTGGGTCTGGTACAATGCCTCAGATGCCAGGCTGGGTCACCAGACCCCTCACACACAGGTCCATGCTAGGTAATTGGGAAAGATCCCAGGAGCCGTTGGCAGATGACACGAGCTTAGACCTCAGCTTCCTCAGCAATGGCAGCAGTGGTGGTGGCCTTCTTGGGGCATCCCAGGGGCACCGGCAGCAACAGCCTCCAGCAGCAGTAGCAGCCTTCCCATGGACCTCCCCCCCACTGCCCGGGGCACCCCGGGGGTGGGGGGCACTGTGGATCAGAGCCACTCGTCCTTTATACTTAAGTCCATAACATAGGACACCTGGGTGCACATGTGCAATTACATTAGACAATAACCAAGGAACACCTAGGCACACGTGCATATTTACATCAAATGCTCACCAAGATTCTGAACATCTGAGGGGCCCTGACCATTTTCCCTCATTTTCCCTACATCCACTTATATGAGGTACGCAGGGTAGTTCACTTCATAGAAACAGAAAATAGAAAGGTGGGATTGTCAGAGACTAGGGGAAGGGGGAAATGATGAGTTATTATTTAACAGTATGGGGTCTCAGTTTGGGAACATGAAAAAGTTCTGGAGACGGATGGTGGTGATGGTAGCACATCAATGTGAATGTACTTAATGCCACTGTGTATCATATATACAACTAAAAATGTTGTGTCTATTTTGTTTTGTCTGTTTTACCACAATCAAAAAGTATGTCAGAAACTT